TTTTTTTTCCTTATTGTACACACATTCTGAGGCCAAATGAGGATCTTTATTAGAGGTCATTTCTTAAAGAAGAGATAATGATCATGAGGAAATAAATTAACCTAGATATTATGAAATAAATATAATATATGATTAATTAAAATTGAGGACATATATGGGCATGCCAAATCATTTGCTGAATCATTTCATTTACAGTTATTTAGTTATTTTTTTACTTAAAACATTTTTTAATGTTTTGTTTACTATCTGCATTAGAGGCATCATTGACCTGCAATTCAGGAAAAGTGTTAATTCTACCATTGAATTTATCAGGTTTTGTCACTTTGATATATTACTTATTGCCATAGGATCTCTTGTTCTTCGATGTATATATTTATAAATTTACACATTCTAGAAGGTTTTAGGAAGATAAAAGAAAATATGTATTAAAAGAGTAGGTAAAAAAGCTCTTTAAAATTAATGTACCATTGCTATGGTTATTACATAGCATTTTCTTTTTAAGAATGTATTAACCAGTAATATGTATATAATAATAACATAATATTCAAATATGGTATAAACAAATAAACATAAATTAATAAATTTTATATGATTTATTTTATAATAATATTGGTAAAATATAATCGAAGGTGAAAATAAACATTTAAATAATGACACATGCACATGTCCATTTTTATTAAAGTATAGTGAAATATATCTATTTTTGTAATATACTTTTGTTCACAAAAGCATCATAAATATTATTGTAGCTGCACAAAATTAAAAATCCAAATTGTACATACCTCAGTAAATAAATGGCTTTTAGTGACTGAAATTTCTGAGTCTGTTTTGTGAAACACAAATACTCAGTAAAATATGCTCTGAAGAAAACCTCAATTTGAATATGTAAAAACATAAAAAGGAGTATTTAGAGTTGTTTTACCATGAGTTTAAATTAAAATAGTTTTGATACCCGAACAAATACTCTGAAGTTTTTATCCTTAAGAAATACATTTGAAAGAGTACATCAATTCTGTCTTGAGTAATGCAAGCATAAGAGAAATATGATAAGAATATTAAGTAAGCCTCAAAAATCTGAGGATCATGAAATAAATAAATTCTTGGCAAGAAAATATCTAGAATCAATTTTGATATAAAGTCAAAACCAATCAGCATTCTAATTTACCAAATCTTAATGATTTAATGTATTAGAGAAAACAAATCAGAATTCCAAGCAAAGACTTGAGAAATGGGTGTGCATAGAAAGATTTAACCTCAGAAAATTTTATACATCCCCTGTGTCTGTCCATGTGTCTCTCTCACGTCTTTCCACTGTGACACCAAAAACAAAAACAATGAAGAACACGTTTTTGAGTAATTATATTTAGGTCTTAAAACAGTTATCTATTTTTAGTAGTAATTTGCCTTAGTATCTCCTCAATAATTAATGATCACCCTGTGCTTGTTGCTCATAATATAGAATGTGTAGAACCACCGAGAACGAGGCTCTGAAGACTACTATTTGAATAATGTCAGAACAAAAAGCGCCACAGAACAGTAAGAACTGAAAAAACAAGGCCAAAACCAGTGCAGGACCACACAGCATGTAGGGCTATATCAAGGAGGAGTGGAGGTGGTCTATGAGGTCTGACCTCCCTTAGGCAATGCAAAGGACAGACTAGTATACACTGTCTTAGAAAATATTTTTCTTCAAATCTTATATTTTAATGGATACATGGTAAGAATCCAGAAGTAAAATGTAAAATAGCACATTTACATTCATTTCTGGGATACTTTTACTTCTAGTTCACTAGATTAGCTAATTTTAATGCCTTTCACTATGTCCTAATTGATATTTTAGCTATAGTAGATAACTTTTTCTTTTTCAATATTTATCAGGTAATTTACAAAAAAATTCCATTACAGAATACAGTCATTTAAAAAAATTAATGATGAAATTGTTCAAAACACATACACAGTAATATCACAGGGTATGAAGTCTGTGTAGACATCATAGTCTTTATGTTTAGTTCCTAGTTTAAAGAATGATTGACTGGCTTGGAAGTTTAGCTTGAAATCTTATCTCAAAAAACTTGAAAGGACTTCTCCTGTGTCTTTAGACAGGGAGACTGGCAGTAACTCAGGGACAACTGTGGGTTTGGCACCTTTATTCATGATCACTTTTTCATTTGTGGAATACTGTAAACTCTTGTGATACTAACAAATTGTAGAGGGAAAATGACTCAAAAACCCATGAAATGCAAGAACCCCAGAGTTCTGAGAACTATCTTAGATGTAAGCCACCCAGGAGACCTGCCTGACCATTGGATCTTTTCACTTTAGACCTTTTAGAGTGGGAAATAAACATTGATTAAATAAATCACTGAGATGTGGGGTTCTAAACCACATTTATTTTCTCAACTATGCAGTCTAAAACATTACTCCTAATGTATTGAAGCACAAGTCTCTGGGACATATTTTTCAAGGCTTTTTAATTTTATTAAAATATACACTTCATGTGCCACATTCTTTTCCAAATTTCTTAAGAAACAATGTCAAAGATTTGACATTATGCTTGACCATACTTAGGGAGTCACTTCAAGAAGTGTAGAGTTATTCCACTCATGCCAGAATGATATCATATTCACATAAAGAGTGAGTTTTTAAGTTATCTGTGGAATAAGGTACAGATTCTATTCAAAAAATTAGCAAAAGAGATGAAGTCCTGATATATAAAAATAAAATCAGTTTAAAAAATATTCCAAGCTGGATATGGTGGCGAACACCTGTAATCTTGGTTGGCTATAGGGGCTAAGGTATGAGAATTGCAAGCTCAAAGACAGTCTCAGAAATTCTGTAAGATTCAGTCTCAAAAAAAATTCCTGAGATTTGGCTCAGCAGTTAAGCACCTGTGGATTCAATTCCTGATTTAAATAGTAATACTAATAATAATTCTAAGTGACATCATGAGAAACACAATAAAAATTTGTAACTGAACATCTTTTTTTCCAGTGGTATTGGGGATTTAACCTAGGACTTTATGCATGTGAGGCAAGCACTCTACCAACTGAGCTATATATCCAGTCCTATGACTGGACATCTTACTAGACTCTAGCTTCCTTCTGTGGCTTTTGTACTTTTACTATTCCTTCTCTTATTCTATACTTTCTGCCCAAATTTTCTCCAGAAACAACAACAACAACAACAACAACAAAACTCACTCCTTCCACAAATTATCTTCATAAAGGACAATTTCTGGAACATCTTGACCCCTTTGGTAAGGATTGTCAAGCCTTCTATTATGAGTTTAAAACTCTATCCTTTTTTTAAAATTCTGTTCTTCTGCCTGTTTTTCTGTCCTTCTGTTCAAAATTGTGATTTATAAGTACATAGTTACAATTATGGTCTACATTGCTTCCTTGACTTAGAACAGTTAAGTCTTTTACACACTTATGTCTAAACTGCAATACTCGTGCTTTGATTTTTCTTTGGGTTCAGCTACATCACCAGGATGGTTACAGTTCTTAATGCAAGCAGTTTCTGTTTGATCTGGTCCTGTATGGTGTTCAAAAATTTTTGTGCTTAGTGAGACTCTTAGTGAGGTTATATCTTATATACCAGTTTTGATGTAATGAGTTTTTTTTTGCAAATGTAGTGGATATGATAAGTAGATGTGACATTGAGACTCATGGAGATAAGTGACTGCAGGGTCTACCTGTCTTGCTATGAGATCTTCTTCATGGTATAAAAACATTCTCTTATTTCCTGTATATAAAACTTAAATTGATGGAGTATACAAACCATGCTTCATTTAGTTCTGATCTCAAAAGTTATGACCACTACATATTTATATTGTAGACAGCACTTGGTGTTTTTAAGGGCTAATTTACTTTAGGGAACTCTGAAAAATTTTTTAGAACTTATAAGTAAACAATATTGGTCATGTTCAAATTTTCCAATAAAATCTGAGAGCAATTACTAATGATTGGCAGATAATCAACCTGAGATTCCCAGGGTTTAAGTGAAGTGATATATCATAGTTTATAAAGTTATTAAGTGAGAAAAATTTAAGATTAAAATGAAATATAGCTAAGGTTTTACACCTAAAAAATACTACAATATTCACAAAGTCTTACACCTAATAAATTATGAGGCAAGACTATGACTTTACTGGCTTCTCCATTTAATATTTTCAATTGAGCAACATTTTATTAGAAGAAATAATAGTACTTCTGATGACAAATATATAGGAAAATATTCAACACCTTCAACATCCACAATGTTCAATAGAAACCATGTAAAGTAGAATTTTTATAACTTTTTATCAGATTTTTAGGAAAAAAGCATTTATAATCTGATAGTTAAAAGCATTTTTTTGAATTGTGCTACTGTAAACATTTTTGTAGCTACATTCTTTTAGAATTCTGTGATTCCATTCAGTATATGAATTGATAAAGCAAATGTTATTTTTATACAAAATAGGATATTGCTCATCATTAAAGACAATGAAATCATGGCATATGCAGGTAAATGGATAGAACTGAAGAATACTATGCTAAGTGAAGTAAGCCAATCCCCCAAAACCAAATGCTAAATGTTTTCTCTGACATAAAATTGCTTATATGTAATGGAAAGGAGGGAGAAGCATGGGAGGAATAGACAAACTATAGATAAGACAGTGGGGAGGAAGGGGAAGAAAGGGAGCATGGGAATAGGAAAGTGTTGAAATTAGATGGATGTCATTATTCTAAGTACATGTATGAAGACATGAATGGTGTGACTCTATGTTGTGTATAAGAGATATGAAAAAATGTACTCTATATGTGTAATATGAATTACAATGCATTCTACTGTCATATATAACAAATTAGAATAAAATTTAAAAATTACTTTATTAAAGACTGAGCAAATTCAGAGGAAATAAAATATTTAAAAACAAAAACAAAAATTAAAAAGCATGTTTATATATGTTGAAAATGTTTTATATATTCCATTGTGGAGTTTGTTATACCCCAAAATAACTCTAATATATTATGAAAAAAAGCAAATGTGTTTGAAGCAACTAAAATATATTCATTTGTTAAAAAGTAATATATTCTCTCATTTAAATCTATTCTTTGAGTGAGAGAGAGAAAAACAAAATACAAAGCATTATTAAGAAAGTAAATCAAAATAGGTAGAAGTGGAAAACTAAATGCACAAATGAAGAAAGTAGTCTTAAGTACTAGAGGGAGAATCCATGCTAGAAATAAGAAAAGTAGTGAATGTATGATAAGACTTTGAGTAATGACAGGTTATTTATCCTCTGATAAATCTCTGAAAACTTATTTTCTTGGGAGAAAGATAACATATAAAACTATTTCTCGTAAGTTTAGATATGATTTTGTAATTACTTTTCCATGAAAGTTCATTAAATAATATCAATACCAGATACTTTCTGGAATTTTTCTCCAAGTCAATCAAATATTTTATATATTTTAGAATGTGTGTGTGCATGTGCACTCTAGAACATTATGTATAAATGTATATATGTATCTAAGTTTTATCTAAGGTTAACATTTATATGTATGTAAAATAACTTGATTCTTTTGTATTTTTCTAAATATAATGGTACATAAAATATTTTTGTAGGAAATATAA